ATTCATTTGTACTGGTTAACTGGGCATCTTTATTATTCACAATGAGAATGATACACTGATGTTGCTCTCCAAAAATTTATCTGCAGTGACAACAGTCACCTACCATTTACTACCTGACACTCACAGGGTCAAACTGAACCTGTCCTAAGAAATGGGACCACTGTCTGGTTCCTGGTTGCCCACTGAGCCCCTCTTGCAAGGCTAGCCTTGGAGTAGGCTGGGACCCTTGGTGTTGGGCAGGGACAAGGGAGAGGCTGGCCCACCTTCAAGACCTACTCCACTCACACGGGGAGACAGGTCAGGGCCAGGCCTCCATCCCCACACCCCATTGTCCTTTCTCAGAGGAGGCAGATTAGATGTTGCCAAGTCTCTAATGTGCAACACAGGTGGCAGGGCCACTGCAGGGATGCTGGAACCTTGGCTGGGGGAAATGGGTAACACAAGGGGCTCCCTCTCCCATACCTGTTCCTGCAATTCTCTAGAGCTGGTATAGCTTGAAGAAAATGGGATTTGAAATTAAACCTGAGTCTGAATCCAGGCACTATTACATACACACTCACAGAATTACTGGAGCCTTCTCTGAACCTCAGTAAACCTGCAAAATGGAGATGATATTACCTCCCTGAAAGGGTTCTTAGTATACAACAGGTCCTTCCTAAATATGCTTCCCCTTAAGGAAACTCCTAACTATCTAATTAAAGAAATCCACAAAAACATGTACAAAGTCTTGGAGTGTCAGAAATTAGGGAAGCAAACTCAGTCAGGGACTGCACTATTAGGCTTTCAATATGGTGGGGGGTGGGGGTATGGGGATTACATTTGCACACTGGCCCCACTGAAACAAATGGGGTCCGGTGTGAACTGGCTCCTCAAATAGTACTTTCCTACACCAACATTTATGAGCCTCCTGATGGAAACACATACCACCACCTGTGACACCATTGTGGCAAAAAAACCAAACCTGAAGCTCGTCAAGCCTCCAGAGTAAATGACCAATTTAAAGGAAAGGTAAGGGACAGAGGAATATGACAAACATCACCATAGGATTACAATTAGCAAAATCCTACCTGGGAAAACCTACAGTTCAAGGATCCAAGTATCTTCCACACTAACGACAAAAAAGACAAGGGAAAAAAAAGAGACATAGCAATGGAATCTACAAATTAAAAGAGCCTGAAGAGGGGCACCAACCAACTGCACTATATGAACTTTATCAGGATCCTGATCAACACAAAGACATGGAAAACTCTTTTGAGCTAACTGGAGAATATTGAACACTGACTGGGTATTTCATAATATCATGAAATTACTGTTAAAAATAGGCGTGAGGCCAGGTGCAGTGGCTCACACCTGTGATCCCAGCACTTTGGGAGGCCAAGGTGGGCAGATCACTTGAGGTCAGGAGTTCGAGACCAGCCTGACCAAAATGGTGAAACCCTGTCTCTAATAAAAATACAAAAATTGGCCAGGCGTGATGGCGGGCACCTGTAATCCCAGCTACTCGGGAGGCTAAGACATGAGAATTGCTTGAACCTGGGAGGCAGAGGTTGCATTGAGCTGAGGTCGCGTCACCGCACTCCAGCCTGGGCAACAGAGCATGATTCAGTCTCAAAACAATAAATAAAATAAAAAAAGGTGTGATGATGGTATTGTGAATATATTTTAGCAGTAAATATTGGGTATTTATGAATGAAAGTGTAAGATGGCTTGGATATACATCCAAATAATCTGAGTTGAGAAGTAATGAGCAGAGTATGAGCAAAGTGAGAATGACCTTGAGTTGATTATTACTGAGGCTGAGTGACAGGGACATGGGTTTTTGTTACATAATTCCCTGTGCTTTTACATATGTTTTAAATTTTCTACTTTTATTTAAAGTGAAAGATTAAGTCATAGGCTAGGAGGGGATATGTAAAATACATGTAACTGCAAAGGAGATACAAAAACAGTGAGAAAGCAAGAAAGTCCAATACTGTGCAGTAGAAAAATGGACAAAGGCTGTGAGAAGTCAGATGTGGAACCCAGAATGGGGAACAGGCAAATGAAAAGATGGGCAACCTCATCTGTGGTCAGGGAAACACAAGTTAATTTCATGCAAAAAGGCATTGGTAGGTACGAGTGGGAAAACATGAACCGTCTTCCTTCTGCTGTCACACTGCAACCATCAACAAAGACGACTTCTTGGGACGAAATGTGTGGGGGTTTCTCCCTATCAGCAAACAATCAGTTCTGCAGCGGATACCAGCTGGGCATCCTCTGATTCAATTCTGACACATCTACGCAGAGGTAGCATCGGATCCCACAGGGTAAGGCTCAGTCCCACAAGACCGCTCCTCACTTCTGATGTCAACCACAATCCCCAGGTTGTTTGACTTGTGCTTCTGACTCACTAGCGATAAAATGCGGATCTCACCATCCCCTTCTTGGGGTCCATTAATTTGCTAGAGCAGCTCACAGAACTCAGAGAAACACAGTTTCTGGTTTATTACAAAGGATATTACGAAGGATACAGTGAAGACATGCACAGGCCAAGGTATGGGAAGCGGTGTGGAGCTTCCACGCTGTCCCCGTGTATCAACCTCCAGGAACCTCCACCTGTTTAGCTACCTGGAAGCTCCCTGAACCTCGTCTTCCTGGGCCTTTTATGGAGACATCACTGGATAATCAAGATTAGCAACGTGATTGGATAAAAAGGGTAGGGTCTAAGACTAACAGACTGAGTGGGGAGACCCTGCAGCGCCTGTCTGTCCAGATCCTTCCTGGCTTCTCTGTGCAGTACTCTTTCCTCCCGGGGGTGGGGCTGGACCCCTTCTGAAATGGGAGTCTTGCGACCTACAAACAGACAATGTGGGTCAATTTCTTTATGGAAAGCAGGGGAAGAGTAGAGTCTTGCCTTGGGTAGGAAAAGGAAGAGGTGAAAAGAGGGCAGGAGAAGGTCAGACAGATTCTGTTTTCTGAGGCCTAAAGTGCCTCCAACCTTACAACAAGGGCTGTGGGAGTTACGGGCCAGAACAGCGGATGAAAACACAAATATATAAAATATCACAGCAGGGATGTAACAGTGTCAGCAGGAACTTTTGCACACAAACAGAGGGATAATAAATAGGTTCTTTTACTTTATAAAATGGTGAATCTCAGTAAAGGTTAAGATGCCATACACTAAAACTCTGCAATTTCATACTTAGGTACTGACCTTAAAGAAAGGTTTGTGTAATGGACCCAGGAAGTGATAACAGATGGCTGCTAATATCACAAAAGGTAGCAAACATATGCATCTCCCGACAGAAAGCACCGCCCAACAACAGAGTCATATCATCAGCAAAATTAAACCTGAATCCAAGCCTCTAATGGAAGGAAATACAGGAAATGAAGCAGCATATCGAATCGCACTACAGAGATACCAACAGCAAAACTGAGGTGGTGTAAACCTCTGTAAGGCAAATCCAGTGTCTTCAGTAAACAAATTACGAGAGAGAAGGGGAGAGAGAGAGATGAGAGAAGACTCTGCTGAAGAAAAGAAACCTAAGACAGTAGTGGATTCATAGGCAAACAAAGTAGAATGGTCGCCAAGGGCTGGGGGAGTGGGGAGCAGGGACTGAGTGTTTAACGGGGACAGTTTCAGTCAGGGAAGATGGAACAGTTCTGGAGAGGGGTGGTAGCGATGGCCTCATACTGTGTGAACATACTTAATGCCACTCAACTGTACACTTAATGATGGTTAAAATGGTAAAAGTTATGTTAGGTATATTTTACCCTAATTCTTAAAATTTAAAGGAAAAGCAACATAGACACATATTAACCAATCACAATGCATGGATCTCACGTGGATCCTGTATCAAAAAAGCTATTCAAAGGTATGACGCAATTGGAAATTTGAACACTGACTGTGATGACATAAAGGGATTACTGGTAATGGGGGTGATAAGGATATTGTATTTATTTTTTTCGTATTTTTAGAGATAAACACAAAGATGTCTGTACATGAAATAATACCCAGAATTTGATTGAAATGATACAGAAGGAGGAAACAGACGTAGATAACCTGAAACACAATTGGCCATGACAGATAACTGTCCACCCTGACAAAGGAGATACAAGTGTGCATGACACAGCCTGCCTAAATGTGGGCATTTTACATAATAAAGAAGTTGTAAAATGAGGAAGCTATTATATGTCTGCACAAAAGGACAAGTGTTAGATGCTCACAGCGTTGTGGTTCGTAATAGCAAAATAGTGGAGACATCTTAAATGTTTACAAAGACACAACTGAACCAAAAATATTGTGGTATTTCATTCAACAGAGAACTACAGAGTCAAGCAAGCAAGTGATCTAGATCAGCGGATCTCAACCAGGGGTGATTCTACCAGGTTCTGAAATCCGGAGGACATTTGACGACATCTGGAGACATCTGTGGTTGTCAAAACCTGGCGAGGTGAAGCCACTGGCCTCTAGTAGGTGGAACCCAGGGATGCTGCTAAACATCCCATAATGCTGAGAACAACCCCAACAATAAAGAATTACATGATCCAAAATATCAGCAGTGCTGTGGTTGAAAAGCCTTGTACCTGATGTATGTGGATTACTCCTCAAACCACAATATTGAATTAAAAACAAATAAGCAAAGACAAGTGGCAAACAGATACATACAAAAGTAATGTCATGGAGGTAAAAGTTAAGAACACAAAACCAAGAGTGTTTACTGCTCATGGAAATTTATCCATGCAGGAAAGTATGGAAACATGGGTGGGGGAACTATACGCCAATTTTAACTACAGATGACTAGAAAGAGAAGCATGAAATGTTGCTTCAACAGAACTTGTAACATTTTACTTATTCTACCCCCTCCCCATAAAAAATAAATAGCAAATGTGGCAGAGGTGAATGTGGGCAAATCTGGCCGGTGGATACATGGTTGCTTGCTCTGTTAGTCTCTATGCTTTTCTCCTGGGCTGTGGGCAGCAGAAGCTGGACGGATACAAAGGGTTGGGGGAACACTCACCGGTCCCCGGAGATCGATGAGCTCCTGCCTCATCTGGGACACAAGGGCTTCCTTGGCCACCAGGGCCCTGTGCAGGCGCTCGTTGAACTCAATCAGCTCACCATGCATCTCTGCCACCTGGAACACAAGCACCGAAAGGTGGGACTTAGAGGCGGACATTCCCCAGGGACCGATCCCGCCTTCTCTGGACTCTCCTTCCTGACACCTGTCAGCAAAACATCCCTAGGCTGTTGGGGCTGGAGTCAATGACACCGCTTACCTGTGAACCAT